CAATTCAAATTCTCATTTTCATTTTATGTAGAATAGGTTTATTACTGTTCACGTGGCAGTATATAACGGCCTATCTTGATTGATGATATGAAACACAGACATGAAGGTCATGGTTGAATGCGTTTCAGCTGACACGTCAATGCGTTACAGATCCACAATTAACGCATTACATTACCGAGACACAACGGGAAAAACCAACAAATCAAAATCAAGATACATCGATTTTTAACGGAATTCGGATAATTGCCATACTACAAGTTGGTTTATATTGATTATTAAGTAGTTTTCTACTCTCATGTGGTAATATTTTTATCATTTTTGCACCCGTGTGGTCGCGAGTGGTTCCGAGTGGTTCCGTGTGGTCGCGAGTGGTCCCGTGTGGTATTTAGTAGGACCCGTCGTAGGACCTTGTCGTAAAAATAGCCACTCAAGAACAACAGCGTAAAAAAAGGACAAGGAAAGAGAGGATGAAAAACCTGTTCGATATCTTTAAACTAAGCAAGAACACAATAAAGCCAACCTACCATGATCAACGTCTAGGTCTTTTAAATTAAGTATAACCATGTCAGCAAAAGCTAGGCCACTCACACTCAGCTCCAATAGCGGTCACGTCGACGACGGTCACGGGCAGCGAACGGACGGAGGTGCTGGAATCTGCCAAGGACTAGTTTAGACTTAGGGCCTAGGCCTCTCTAGACTAGCTAGCTAAGAAATTAACGTACACAGATAACTTCAGTTTCAGGAAATATGTATTTAAATTATATTATTAATCCATCAAAAAATAATGCAATTGTATTTTTAATTGATAAACAATCACAAGAATGTAATAAACTACGTTAGAAATACCTCGATTCTGAATAATTTCCTTCTTCCAACAACAGCGCATACAAAATACAAAGCGTTTTCTTCACTAGGAACACAAGATAGAGCGGCTATCGGTACTGCCGCAGTGTCGATTTGGCACTGCGGCAGTCCGAAAAAAACCTGCTGTTTTCTATCGGCACTGCCGCGGTGTGAAAAAGCTGCTGTTTTCTATCGGCACTGCCGCAGTGCGAAAATCTGCTGTTAATTAATCGAATCGATGTTCAATAACTGATTAGGTCTAGCCTAGCCTATATTATTGTTAACATTATATTATATATGTTTACAATTAATAATTATTTCTAATTAAATTATTAAATATAGGCCTATAATAAAGGTATTTGCCTAGGATATTCATGTATACATAAAACAATAATAATAATAATAATAATAATAATAATAATAATAATAACAATAATAATAATAATAATAATAATAATAATAATAATAATAATAATAATAATAATAATGAAGGTCCTCGAATAATGCTTTAAAAAAGAATTAATACTACTCATACTTAATAGGCCAATTTACGATATTATGATTAATGATACATTTGTTGATTAATTTAAAGAAATATGTAATGTTTGCATACATTTTTATATCATTTCAAACACCTTACTTGAATCTATTATACTGTGTATGATGATGGTGATCAGGCATACAGATTTCAAGAAAAAAAAAAAACAGGTGGTGTCCCTGTGCATTTTTTGTATTTTTGTATTTGTGACATAGTTTTATGTACTTATAAAACATTGATACAAACCAAAGTTGTCAGTTATTTCATTTGAAACCATTGTCAGTATAATCTTAGGAAAACATGGTTAAAATAAGCAAGAATTTAGTCCAATGAAACTGTTTATCATCTTGACACCTTCCCTGACGAAAATTGACCCTACCGGCGTCACCACGGCGTCCGCACCGATCGATCTATCGTGACGTTGTTATGTGGGTGTTTTATGGATTACTGATAATAGCAATATCACCGAAAAAAAATGATAAAATGACAGTTGGATGACCAACAAAGACAACTGAAGACAATAGTTCGTCATTAGAGGTTATTTAGTATAACTTTATTCGGAAACTTAATCTCAAAATCGAGTTGCCGTCCCCGGCGTTGTCAGTGACGTCGTATGATTTGTGTGTGATTTTTAGAAATTAACCCTAAAGTAAAAGTAGTTGAGCCATGTAGTACCTTGCAAATTAACCCAGAAACCCGGTAGTTTGTTGATTGTTTATTCAAAGTTACCAACTCTGAGAGATTTTAAATGCGTGAGTGACTATACCAGTTGGCTGGGGGGGGGGGGGTGGGTCCAAACATTGTTTTAAAACGATTTCAGGGGTGTTTGTTGATACGGTAATACAGTACATAAGCAAAAACATTATTAATAAAGCCAATTTGAGTTTCAATGATTGGCCTATGTTTAATCTGAGCACCCGAACTATGTAGACATACACAAACATTTAATTACTGATCAATTTTGAGTGACTTATTAGTGAAATAAGTCACGGGCTTTCAAGGAAATAGTACTCTCTAATGACTTAAGTTACTGCATAACTTTTTATAGTTTTAATACAACCAATTTCTTCAAATTTTAAATAATTTTTTACTGAATTTGTAATAAATCGTTATCACGCATAGACTTCTGTTAAGTGCGTGACAAATTTAGGATCACGCATGTGTTTCTGCAAAATGCGTGTTTAATCCAAAAAAAAAATCACTTTGAAATGTAGGACCGTCCCGCACGATGCGGGCGGCGGCGCTATATGGAAATAATAAACAGCAACAGCAATAAAAGGAATAGAACATAAACAGCAACAGCAATAAAATAGATAGAAGGCGCCGCTCTGGTTCGTTTGTTTCCTGTAGTTTCTCCACTTAGTAAAATGTTCAAATTTTACCCCAATCGTGCGAGGGCGGATGTTCCATCAATTTTAGTACAAATACGCGGAGGAGCAGCTCATTTGATGTAAGTATTCTGACTAATTTAATTTTGCTTATAATTGATCATTTTCTAAATATTACTTGTACGATACTTGCGTTGGGCCAGGTATTAATTAAGTAAGGATGTCTGACGGCGCCTAGCCTACTACTAGGCTAGGCCTACTCCATCCATTATATTATGAAGGCCGCCTCTTTTGAATTCTCCTACTACTAGGCCTAGTAAGTAGTAGGCTAGGCGGTGGACTACCTGCTGCTGTGCAACTGCTGTATAGGCCTAGGCCTGGTCAGGCATGCCGGTTGAGTAGGTTTACTAGTACTAGCTTCTAAGTCCTATTAGGCTTAGCCTAGGCAAGCGACCCACGTTAACTCTAGTAATATTTGGACGGAGGGGTAACAGGTCAAAACGGCAAAAAACAAAAACGGCAATAAGTCAAAAGGGCAATGACCAAAATGACGAAAAACCAAAAACGGCAACACTTTTTTTTTTTAGACCAGAACGGCAATGCACACGATATAATATACTGATACAATATAAAACCAGTGAACATTTAAATAATTAAAACCTTAAAATACAGATAATATGAGGCTAAACGATTTATGTCATGAAAGTAAAAAATAACGGAAAAGAAAGAAAAAAAAATAATAATAAATAACACTTTAATATAACGAGATAATTTGTAATGGATTACAAAAAAAATTAACTGCTACCTGCGTCTGGTGGCGTTTCAGTTTTGGCATTGATTTTTGCTCCTTTGCCATTTTGGTCTATGCCTATTGCCGTTTTGGTAGTTGACATCAATGTTTTGGTCTGTTGCCGTTTTGGTACTTATCATTGCCGTTTTGGTTTATTGCTGTTTTGGTCATTGCCGTTTTGGTTTTTTGCTGTTTTGTCCAGAAAACGGACTGAGACGTAGGCTAGGCATCCATAGGTAGGGCCTCCCTAGGCCTAGCCTAGTCGAAATTTGTTAGCATGCCATCCCATCCATGGCATAGGCCTAGGTATATTTATTTATATAGGCCTATATATTTATCGTATTTTATAGCCAAAAACAAAGCCACGGTTTATTATTAATGTTATTAATTATGCACTTGTCAATTGTAATCCCGGGACATGAGCTGGGGACATACTTGTAACTTGTGTCCCCGTAGTGCCAAGACGTACTTAAAATTTACCTGTAGATAACTGGCCTCGAAAGGGCCTGGAATTTAAACGTTGAGTAGCTGGGGTTTTGGGTGTAGGCTTAGTGCTATCTCGAGTGCTGTCAAACTGGGTCCAGTCCTACCTAGCCTACACTAGGCATTCGGCTAGGTAATTAAAAAATTGCCTACCTCTAGGCCTACCATCATGGTATCATTTTTTATAGATCAAGGTATAAATTACATAATAAAATTCGAACCTCCAACCACTAAAAAGAGGAGGACCGCCGAGGTGAGTGTGTTGCGTGAAAATGTGTGAACTGTGTATTTGACATAATTTGCGTCAAAAACTACACCAGTGAGCCAAGGCAAGGAAATCTGTTTCTACTACATATATTAATTTTCTTATTTAATTTCTGTCTTGATACTGAATAAATTCAATCAATCAGTTAAATCAATCAATCCATTTTCTATTTCTATGATTAATCAATACACTCATTTTTTTCGCACTTTTCCAAACTTATATGGAAATCTGCCTAATGACAAGCATGCGTAGTGTTTCCATCAAGCAAGCTCATCTCCTTGGCCTAGCTCTCACATGCTTTTCTGATTCAGACATAGGCTAAACCTTCAAAGTAGGCTTTATCATCCAATCATTTATTAGCGGTGCATTTTACTGGGACTACAAAATATTTCCCAGTGGTAGGTGGCAAGGACCTAGCTGGGAATGTATGTTAAAACGATGCAGCTCATTGCCGGGAGGTGGCCGGGACTTTCACATGCATGTGTCCGTTTTGGAAATTACATCCCCGGCCTGGGTCTGAGACTACAATTGACAAGTGCATTATATTTAGACAGTTATATTTGATATGACGTAATATTTAAATAAGAAGAATGCTTGGCTACACTACAGTACTAGAGCAGGGCGGTAGGGTTACGGTGTATAATTCTTAGTGATTAGTTAGGGCGCACTTTAATCTTAGTTTGATATTAAAGCAAATTCTATTTATTTACTGTAACTGAGATGAGATTGTATAGGTAATAACTTGGATTAAATTAAGTTTTAGAGCACTAACTGATGACCTTTCAAATATAAAGTTTGCTGAACCAGGTATGAAAAAACTCTACCCTTGAATTCAGAACAAAATGTGGGCTGGGCCAAAACCTTCAAGTATGAAGTTGGCCCATGATATAAGAAGAATAAATGGCATTTCAGTTACTGTATTCATTTTACTAATAAAAGGCGAGTAGTTTAATTTTTTTTTTTTAATTTCTTTTTTTAGAAATTAACATTGAAAAATGTCGCAGGCTATTGAACCATACTTCCCATTGCACCGAGGCACAAGACTGAATTGGGATTACAAGGTATGTTAAATGTAGTTCGTGTACATTATATTTAAATTTATTAAACCGTAGATTAAACTGGGTGCCCCATTACTGAAAATTACTCTCTCTCTCTCCGGTCTCCTGTGGGTTTTATGGGTCTGGATGTGTTCTGATGGAGAATCCTCCTTTTCCAAATCTTGTTCCAGATTCCTATAATATCCTGAATGATGGTCTGCAAGATTAAGTTGCATTTGAAGTCCTTCAGCTGAAACTTAAGTCGAACTTCCTACTGTTATATATTGTAGGTGAAGTGTATGCCTATAGACCATTTTATCAGATTTATTTTGAAACAGCGCCACCAACGTCTCACAACTCACTTGGGGACTTCCAGCGGCCTAGCCTGACCAGCTAGCAAGTTACAAATAGAGCACGACGCAGTAGATAGCGCTGCTAGACCTTTGCAATAGCAGCAGCAGACAACAGATGCGATCTTGCTAATTGCTGTGTAAACATTGAAATAGCTTTTTAAGACTTGTTTTTAATATACACATTTTGAGTTTTTTCCGTGTTAAAATATTTGTGCTCATTAATAATTTAGATTTATCGTTCATTTAATCTATATGATGGTAACTACGTAGAGCTAAATGCTCTGAAAGTCCGCTAGTGGTAGTTGCCTGGTTATTAGAAATTTTCATTTCAAATTTCGTGAAAATGGTCTATAGTTTGAACTATTGTTAATTGTTAAATATTAGATAAATACGTTTTTAATTTTTTTGAAATAGATTTTTTTACACTGTATAGTATATTTATTATTTAATTTTGTGTTTTTGAATTTCCATTAGGTGAATCTGATTGGTGAAAAAGTTGAAGATCCCATGATTCATTGCTGTGAGAAGTGCACCTTACCAATTTTGAGTTATGGCCGCATGGTAAATTGTTGCTGTGTTTACTTGGTACTATAGGAACCCTTTAAACGGTGTTAGTCATCATAGATATCCTTAACCATTTAGGATCTTAATTTTGGCCTGTAAATACAAATTTGCAATGTTATGTACAGCATTTTAATATAGTGAAAAATTAACAAAAAGTGCTTTTATTGTCTATGTAGTTCTAAAAGTTTCCGCCCTTGCAGTATATTCATCGGAAATTATGAGCTCAATTGAAGTTTAGTATAATTTGATTTTAACATGTTGTTACAATTTATTTCAGATTCCTTGCAAACATGTATTTTGTTTCAACTGTGCCAAGACAACGGACAAACACTGTCTCCGGTAATATGATATATTTTAAGAGTTCAATTATTTAATTATCATTATTTTATCTGAAAATAATTTTTTGATTGTACCTAAATTACATCTTGCAGTTGCAGAATTATATTTGTATTTCTTTCCTCTCTTTTGACTTATCATTTATACTTCTGAACATCCGTAAACATACATATTGTATAAATTCAATGATGTTATTGTTTTATGAACCTAAGTATCTTGGCCCTATTACTACCTAATTAAATATATCATTGCCTATTCATACTACTGTGAAATACTATTTTTTCTGAATGCTTGTATTTCTAAATATGTATTTTTCAGGTGGTGAGCTAGAATTTATTATTTATTTTAGAATGTAGATAGACTGCTTGTATCTAAAAGTGTATGTCTTTTTCTCCAGATGTGGAGATGCTGTACAGCGTATTGAGCAGTCGCCTCTTGGCAGTATTTATGTGTGTAATTTTGGCGCACCCAAACACAGCCCAAAAGGATGCAAAAGGACATACTTATCCCAACGAGACTTGCAAGCTCACATTAACCACAGACATATGAAGTCTCAACATTCATCTTCTGCAAGAGTGCAAACAGGATCAAGTGTGCAGAGGGAGGCAGAATACACACCAGCACAGCCTGATAGATACCCCTCAGTATCAGTCCCTACTATTGAGCATCTTGGGTATAATGAAGTACCAGCCCAGCAAACGAACAGTTACCCTATCAGCACCATACCAGTGGTTACAGGTGGACGTCCATCTAATTTAATTACTGTGCAGCTGCAGGATGACAAAGAGTATCATGAACCAAGAGATCCAAGAACGTATCAGCCAACAGCGCCCCCTCCACCTCCGCCATCACAGCACCATTATACACAGAGTCAGGCATCACCTGCTATACCTCATCCAATCTCACAGACAGCCTTTCCCACTCCACCACCACCAGCTGTGCATGACCCAAGGCAACAAGCTCCACCTACTCATCCAACCAGTCATTACCCACCAACACCTACGTCCCATACACTCCCTCCTGTTTCACATGTTGTAGCACCTGGCTATGATCCCAGGTACGTCCCAGGCCAACTCCAATCCGAACAAAGTTCCACATTCCATAGCCCAACATCAGTAACACCTGGATGGTCTCATCCTGGTGTACCACCTCCACGAGTGCCAGGATCTCTTCATTCTCCACCACTTAATGCTCCAACGACGGATAATGTCTATGGTGCATCATATTATCAATAAATATGTGGGTTCTTTTTATTGTGATAATCTTTTACATGATGATAAATCATGTAAAACCTTAAATTGAAGCCCTGGGCTTTTTTTTTTTTTTTTTTTTTTTTTTTTGCGAACTTTAGATGGGCTTCTATTTTTGCAAAGTAAAGAGGGGGAGGGGGACTTATTTTCAAAATGAATGCTGTAAATTTGTACTATAAATCAATAAATATGGCCACTGTAATATCAGTCTGTATTATGGAGTGTATTTAACTGACATTAAATCACCTAAACAATTGTATAAACCAAGCTTGTTTTTAATTTATTTTGTTTTTTGAAATTCATGTACAGTGTATATATACTGTACTATCTCGAAAAGAAGCCTTTGCTATCTTGAAAAGAAGCCCATGGACTTTTTTTCGAGGTTACTTTTGCAAACTAAAGGTTACTTTTGCAAACTGTATATATTGTGCTAAATGTAAACCGTCTATCGAGTTACTCTATGTTATCATGTATAAGATTTGTCTTAAAATAGTAAATTAAGAATAAAAAAAACTGGGGGGGGGGCATTTTATATGTGTAACACATGCAGATTTTTTATTTTTTAAATCATGTTCGTCTTATGTGCGGATTGTCTGTAACACGTAAATTTACTACTAAAATGAAGCTACTAACTGTTAATATGAATGAACTCAATTTGAAATGTTTGTATGTAAGATTTTGATGAGCATTTAAAAGCCCATAAAATGGTATTATTTGTAAGTTTAGCCCTACATTTGGCTCTGTTTTTAGCCAGCTAGATGCATTATCAAGACAAAAATTAGAAATTGCAATGGTGAAACAGGAGGGGGGGGGGGGGTTTTGAAACAGGAGGGGGGGGGGGGTTTTGCCTTGTATGTCCGGCTTACAAAAAATCGTCTCAAACAGTACATCTCATACAGTATTAGTACAGTATTTATTTTTCCAATGATAAAAATCATACATCACCAAGGTGTCAGTTGTGTATTGAAAGCGGGATAATATGCTATTGCAAGACCAGATGAAGCTAGGTTGTCGTATCCATGCCGCCTCAAAATGGGGTTTTTTTTTGGGTTCTGGTTTGATAGATGTTGCATAACAAGTGCTGGTTTATTATGATATTTATTTTATAGTATTAAATCCTTACCGAGCAACGGAGCTCATAGAACTTATCCCCAGTTTCAAATTTTAAATGTTTATATTTAAAAATAATGATATGCTTTCAACCACTAGTTCCTTCAAGGCAATCAAAATGATATGAGAGTTGCAGTTTGCAAAAGTAATAAACGTTGGAAAGGGGCCTACTTGCAAATGTGGTTATAAGTTTAGGACTAAAAACTTTTTTACACGTCCCTTCGGCAAAAGGTATCTAACATATCTTCATAGATGAATACTATGACTGCTTGACTCAAATTTTGGCCTAAAATATAAATTATTGCATATTATTGGCATTGATCAGCCAGCTAATACCCAACACATTGCATAATCACTTTTTAATTTAACGTTATAGAATCCAATAAAGGTTGAATTTATAATCCACCGATGCAAACATATTTAATGTGGAGATAATCTTCGATTCCATACTTTGATCCTTCAGTACCAAATCCAGATTCCTTCACTCCACCAAACGGTCCCTCCACGCAAGACACTAAACCCTCGTTAATACCAATGATGCCCACGTTTAATTTATCTGCTACTCGCCACACTTGGCTCAGGTCATTCGAGTAGAAATAACCTGCCAAGCCGGCTCGAGAATCGTTTGCGATTTTAACAGCTTCCTTCTCTGTCTTAAATCTGAAGGGTAATATAAAATGGTATGTAAATAAAAATAAGCGATGTTATGTAAGCAATGTTATGTACAGAATTTAGAATACCTCTGATACAATCTGTTATAATGTTCGAAAATAACAATAGTAATCTGTTTATATCATTAATAATTGATAAGTAGGCCAATGTGTAAAAAGAGCTATCACGTAATGTGCTGAAGATTGCGGCGAGAGATAACAAAGTTGGCATATAAAGTACTAGACAGTGTGCTAAATATGATGATGCGGTGTATTAGTATCATTGGAAGATGAAGGAGAATTGTGATGATGGGTTCTAGAATAGAAGCTGGCTTTCAAGGTGAAGACTAGACAAATGCAGCGGACTGGGAGGACTTTCAGAAAAACAAAAAAAAAAGCTGCATCTTACTTTGACCTGTTTCAAGTATTGCTTCAAACACTTACTCAGTGTCTTAGAAAATACATGGTTTCTATAAAATCGACCACTGTCGGTGAAATCAATGGCCCCCATTCTACCGACCAATCGGCGTCGCTAAAAGCTGTCGGCGATTTTATGGACATAGGCTTACGATAGATGAAATAGAATATCAAGGATTATGGCTAAATATTAATAGGCCTAGGCTGATTTATTCCTGCACTCACTTCATAATAGCAGCCATTGGGCCAAATGTTTCTTCAGTACAGAACATCATATTGGCTGTTGCATCAGAGATGAGCGTTGGCTCGAAGAACGTTCCACCAAGTTCATGCCTCTTTCCACCAAGCACTAACTTCCCACCCTTCGATAGCGCGTCACTGATGTGACTTTCGACCTAATTCAATAATATATTTAATATATATACAGTATATATATATATATATATACAGTATATATATATATATATATACAGTATATACAGTATATATATATATACAGTATATACAGTATATATATATATACAATTTACGACCCTGGAATGATATAAGTTGCACAAAGAGCACACGACTGTATTGTCAGCAGCGTGGACTGTCTGAATTGCAACTTTGCAATGCTTCTAAATGTTTTGAAAGAAAAATCATTAATCAATCGATTTCAACACTAGCCACTAAGCAGAGATTGGTAACGATAGCCGACTTGTAGTCTGAAAGTTGTAGGTTCGATAGAACAAACTAGCAACAATATATATCTTACCGAACTCAAATATGTACTGCAATTCAAATTATTAGAATACAATTGTTAAAATAATCTACCTTTTCCACTGCTCGTTGGTTTATCAGAGGACCGACTGTGCATTTAGGGTCAAGGCCATCTTTGACGTGAAGTTGTTCTTTCATCGCCACCACTACCTTCTCCACAAAGCTGTCATATACTTTCTCATGAACAAGTATTCTGTTTGCGCAAACGCATGTCTGTGTAAAAATATTATAGGCCTTATAAATGACAAATGACAAAAAATTGACTATAAGGTCTTCTCTTGTTCATTACTACGGTTAAAGGTTTGAATTTTGAAAATCCTCGTACTTTATGACGTAGTTGCACCAGTGGGGATTTTCTCGCCCTCCCCACACCGACGGAACAGCATGAAAGTCCGACGCCACGACGAGGTCGTCAGATTATCGCCATTCCAAACAGTTATGGTCAAAATTTTGGGCCATCCTATTAAACCAAAATCTCTCCCTATGAACCCTAGGACTTGAACCTCGTCCCCTGGCGTTGGCAGATTTCTGGAACCACCACTGAGTTGTACACCAACTCCCCTATACCGTAATAAAGGTAAATTCTCTTTTTTTCCCCCGAAGAATCTAATATTTAATTTGTATCTATGAACATACAGTATTGCATTACAATGGTCGTCAAGGTGTTATGGTGTTAAAAAGCATAGAAACTACATTTTCATTTAAGAGGACGCCATTTGTTTCATACCTGTCCTGTGTTTCTAAACTTGCAGACCATAAGTCCAGTAACCGCTCGATCCACATCAGCCGAGTCAAATACGATAAATGGAGCGTTGCCACCGAGTTCCAAAGAGAATTTTTTGACGGTGCTGGCACCACTTGCCAATAAAATCTATCGGGTAAAGCAAAAGGAAAACTAACGAAATGTTGTATGTTTTAAATCATGACGTTATTGATCCAATATTTAAAGGAGAGTTGTTTTTTAATACAATGAATTTCGCGTTTTCACAATAATATGTACGAATTGGGTTTATAATGTCTTTGTTTCTGTGCACTTCGTCATCTAGAAAATAATGAGCGGAATATACCTTTGTACAAGACGTATTATTTTAACAACTTGACACGTTCAGTTGTATGATGTAGGCCAATATTCACAGTTAGGTAGGCCTATTTTGTATTTATTTTGTAAAGATCATATATGAGTTTAAAGTGACTGCGTCTCAATACGGCCTACCTTTCCAACGGCCGTTGAACCGGTAAAGGAAATCTTTGCAACCAGCGGACTGGTGCAGATGGTATTCCCAACTTTTACAGCATTTGGTCTCGAACAAGTGATGATGTTTAAAACTCCAGGCGGAAAACCAGCCTGATCTGCAAGCTATGGAGTAAACGTTATATAATATCGTATCAACTGGTGGGTCTAATAGTCATTCTCTATGACGTCACTGTAGTTGAACATTATAAGTTAAGTAAACATAATCAGCATTGTAACTATAGGTAATGCGTTAATTCTTCTACGATTATTTTGCTCTATTTTGTATGTTTTATGAAATTATTACTATGCTGAATTTATATTAAATATCAGTGTTTTATTCATCGATACATTTTATGCCTGAATTATTTAATATTCATTGCTGTCTGATATTTTTAGAAGGGTGCCATAACTGAAATAAATGAATATTTACACAAGAGGGCGGATCCACAATTTTTTAAACGAGGGGGCATGGATTTCGTATAGGCCTAGATGTAATATAATTATAGTACAGATAAATAAGTATCCAATAAATTCTATGATTCTATTAAGAAATATTGTAACATTTAGTATTTGTATGCCATTTTTTTTTTCTGATAAAATTTAAGACGGCTGTAGCAAAACCTGGTGGCACGTCACCCTACTTAAATCCACCCCGAAACAGAAAGCCCATTAAATCAAGTAATGTTGTAAATGTTTGAGTGAAAAGATAACGAATAATAAAATATATAGGAAGATAGACTAGACCTACTTAGAATCACAGACCTATTGAGGTGAATAACCCAGAGTGGTTAGAAATACGAACCTCACATAGTGCTAGAGCAGAGAATGGTGTATCTTCAGCAGGCTTCAGAACGACTGTACAACCGGCGGCCAGGGCAGCTGCAGCTTTTCGAGTTATCATTGCATGCGGAAAATTCCACTGAAAAATAAATCTATACATTTAAAAGTATCTTCTTAAGGGAGAAGTTTACCAAGAACTCGTCTAAGAATCACCCTAAACCTGTGCGTTACAATCGCCTGTCGCCAAACCGGGATAGAGTGATGCATCACAAATATAATTGAGAGCGTCTACGTAACGAGCGCGCACAAGATTCGTAATTTCAAAAATGGGATATTATGTAATTGAGTAAGCTAAATCAGTTCTCAAATTATATAAAATTGGTAAAGATCTTCTTTAAAATATTAATAATATGATGGTGATGGTTAAATTAATGATAATCATAATGATGTTGATACTGATAATAGTGTTGGTTAATGGTTAATATGTGATAACAATAGGCATAATATTCATATAAAAATATATGTACCGGTAGCCTTATTATAATAATGAAAATTATAAAACAATATAAAGTTGAATGCAAACTAAATCAAATAAAATCAAACAATAATAACATTACAAAATAACTTACTGGTGTTATCATTCCAGCAACACCAACAGGTTCCCTTATGGCGAATAATTTTCTGCCTTTGGCTGGAGGGGCGATGACGTCACCGCATACACGGCGTGCTTCTTCTGCAAACCAATCTACGAAAGTTGATCCGTATCCGACTTCTCCCATTGATTCCTTTAGTGGTTTACCCTGAATGTCGTTTAATGAGTAAAAGATTTAAAGCAATATTGAAAAACAAAAACGTCTTCAGAAGGAAAAAATATAATGATAAAATTAACAATATGCATCCAGAAGCACTTCCACCTAGAAAACTTTTGATCGACAAAGGTAGAAGCCGTTATCATTGCCTTCTCAGGGGGTGTGACTAAGTTTAAGGCGAAATAACCTTACCATCTCTTTCGTTAAAATTGCTGCCAATTCTTCTTTGTTTTTCAGGATGAGTTCGTTCCATTTGTGTAGGATTTGACATCGTTCCTGAAAATAAATGTGTTCGTGGCATGAATATGGACTTAAATTTAATGTGATTGGAAAAGCAAAATGGTCAAGTTGTCCATTGTTCGCTCCTAAAATTCTTGTAACCATTGTCTTGTAATTTTACAAGTTGTGCTGGTGCACATTACATACGGAATTACGTGCCAGTGCCTTTGTATACCGGTACGTCAGTAATTTTGGGACCGAATCAGGGGTGGCAGTCCAACAATAAGTCGTCGGGGATATAAAAAAAATAATAATACGTACTTTTATTATTTTTAGCTCTAAAATCGATTAAATAAGCCCCATTGAAACCCGTAAATTGTTTATTTTCTACCTGGCCAGGACCAATTCCGAGAGATTTTGGGCGACGCCCGACCACGCACACATACACTCTCGTCGGGTACCCCTGAATCACATGAGATAAGCCTGGTTTCCTTAAATTCGCTACACTCAATACTGTGTTTTTAGTGCTGCGAACAGTCCCCGACCCAATCGGGAAGGCTCGCCGATTCGACCGACCAATCAGCATCACCGAAACCTGTCGGCGATAGCATGTAGCGATTCAATGGAAACCAGGCTATACAACTGCAAGGTATGAAAGAGGCGTAATAAGTCAATATGTATTGATGACGTCAAAGGTCTAGGCCTACACTTATGTGCAAATATTGTACGTTTTTATATTAACTAATAATTTATCAGACTATGATTTTCATTATCAGATTACTTTGGCTGTTGTCTCACTCCAAGTCTGGAATGCCTTATCAGCTGCTGCAATTGCCTCGACAGCGTCACCTTCGACCATGTCAGGAACATCGCCAACAATCTCTCCCGTTGACGGGTTGGTGACGGAAAAAGTGGCTCCATCTTTGGCTCCGATCCATTTGCCATTTACGTAGCATTTGTTCTTTAGAAGTGAACTGTAGCCAAAGTAGGAAATCACAGTATTCATTTCTGATTCAATCGCTTATGCTATATAAATATTTTAACTTAATAATTTAACTCTGTAAATTTTTGGCAACACCTCTGCCTTCTTTAGACAAGTGTCGTTTTATATATAGCATTTATACTACTTAGTCGAGCTCAAAATTTGTCATTCTTTATACCATTCTTCACCAGTTATATTTATCGTATCTAATAGGCCTACAGGAGGTCTAAGCTGATTGATTTAATTGTAGACATGTTTGAATGATATCGAGCTGATGCAATAGAATGGAATAGACAAGATAATATGAGATTGCAAACCCGCCCATGTTGCGCCATGTATTTATGTATTGAAATACAACGGCCTGCGATCGATCAGCTCCATCATCCGCCAAACGAGGCCTAACATCATGGCCTCGCGTGGCAAGACCATCAATCGATCCGCTCAATTGGCTCTGCCAGTTGCAATCAAAGAAATATATAAGTAAACGTTCTAAATTTGAGGAGGACCGAGATACATGTATATTGCCAATGTTGAAAATTCCACAGTAGTAGTAAATCGGTCAAGTAGTATGACCCCGGAAGGACACACACCACAGACACACTGACAGCCCCACACACAAACGCGCGCTAAGTAGTACCCTTCACCTCTCCTTCGGAGAATCGAAGGTAATAAATCAAACATTGTCACCTGGCTATTAATCTTACCTTCCTGACATAGTGTCTGCTATAATACGTCTGCTGTTGGATGAACACCTACACAGAGAGAAATACCATACTTATTCAGGGGCGTACGGTGAAAAATCTAAGGGGGGGGGGGTCGAAACGAAAAGCGCAGGGGGCTGAACTCGGAGCAATTTAGCGAAGCTTTCAGAATTCGCGGGGTGCGTTATTTGTGAGTGAAGCGAGCAACTAGGCTGGGGCTAGGGGGCCGCAAAAGGGGGAAAATTTACTTTTTTACGTTCTAGTGCATTAAGTTCAATACCAAGTCTGACAAAATAAGGCCTAATTGTAAACGTAGTTTTTGGGCAACACCAGACTATATTCACTCAATATACCACCAGCCTATTGGATTGCGGAACTCCTGAATACGGGCCTGTGAACATTTCAGATTAAAGAATTTTAAAAAAAATGGGGTTTTTTTTCTTTTTCGTGGAATCGTGCCACTTTTAATTTTTTTTTTTTAAGTTATAAATGTATATACTGTATTGAAAAATAAACAATGATATAGGGAACATATAATTACTTAAAGTAACATTCTGTATGCGTTTATTTCTTAACGTTTTCCTTTCAATTTTATATTTTAATATATTTCTGTAACTTAGTTTTTCTTCATCGTTTTCCTTTCAATTTTATATTTTAATATATTTCTTTAACTTAGTTTTTCTTCATCGTTTTTCTCAATAACTAATACTTAAACTACGCTTTAAATACTAAAGTAATTTAATTTACCTAATATTTACATAAAAAAATAAATAGGTCTTTATTTAAAGATCAAATTGTTATCATTAATTTTCTGTGGGTATAATGTAAAGAAGAGTTTTGATGCTTCCTCAGTTTATGTTTCATTATTATCATGTTCAGTGCTGAGAAATATAAATGAAAAAAACTGTTACTCATCCAAAAAATGGTAATTGTGTCAAACAAAATAAATACTTAGCTAGGCCTAGGCCTACACTTATAGGCCCTAGGCCTAGGCCTATAACGTTTTCACATGAAAATAAGGTAGGGGGTGCCTAGAAATAAAGGCAAAGCCTAATTACCAGAAGTAATTTGTTAGCGTCCTGCATCGTTTTGCGTCTTCTCTGAGTTTCTTTTCTTTTATTTTTCTTCTTCTCTCTTTATTTGGCATTTTTATATTCCGAAAAAATAATCTACAGTATTCAACTAGGCCTACCTCACAAGAAAAATTTGCTCTCATCAAATAATTACATTGCCTTTTTTGCGTTGCACGCGAATAGATTATTTTGCTGCACGGAAAACACGCAGCTACAGATAACAATAATGGCAGAGTGCAATGATGCGTAACCAATACACCACATAACACAATTCTACTGGCGCGCGGGGTTCGAGATATCAAGTTGATTAAAAATGTATAACTTTATATGGATTGTTTAAAAAAAGACAACAAATCAAAATATTAAAAGGAAGGGCCACCCGAAACATTTTTTAGGCGAAGGATAATTTATTTTGATATTAACTACCTTCATGTTAGGCGCAGTTTAATTATGCCAATTTTTTTTCTAAAATCATATTTAAAGGGCACTTTCTTTAAAAGGGTGGGTCGACCGCATTATTAACAAATCAACATGGTCCATCTTAGTCCTGTCTCTTATACACATCTAGATGTGTATAAGAGTTAGTAGTTACCAACCGTCTCGCATCGTGCGGGACGGGACGGTCCCGCATTTCAAAGTGATTTTATGAAACACGCATTTTGCAGAAACACATGCGTGAGCATAAATAAGTCTATGCGTGACGAATTATCACGAATTCAGTGGAAAATGTATTTAAAATTAGAAGAAATTTGTTTTATTAACGATATAAAAATGGTCATAGAGAGCTTTCGTTATCTCATTCGAGAATCAATTCACCGACAAAATTTCTCTTTCTCGGCCAAAACCCAGCCAACCACGCACTTAGTAGGATATAGGAGGCGCGTGCGGTCTTCCGCGTTAATAATTGTCACAAACCCAACTTTTGATCATGTGACTGAAACTCTGACCCCACCTGGGCTCCGCCACAGTCAACTGGTAGTCACGCATTTCAAATCTCTCAGGTTGGTAACTACGGTGTTAAGATATATTTCTCTCACTTCGCCGGTAGAAAAGTGTCTGAAAAAGGGAAGGGGGTCCATATTAGGGTGTCCGCTTAATAGGGGTGTCCCAAAGGAGAGGGGACACTTTTTTGACAGTCCCGAAAGGTGTCCCTATAATAGAGGTTCTGGTGTATTACTGTATATGATTTATATAGAGCACATATCCATATATCCATTCATATAACATATATTTTACGTCTATAAGATATAGGCCTATTAGCATAGGCCTATATAATTATAGGCATATATATAAATGTTCTACTATGATTGAGTATTTAAGTTGTATGAAGGGAGAGAGACTAGTCGTCTTAGATCCGTAATGATATCGCACGATTCCCACAAGACTTCTTTTTTCCATACTGCTAAGCAACTTTCGTTGATAACTATAATATATAGCAGCATGTTCCTATATTTGAGAACTGCTTTATAACCGGTAGGCCTATTTATTTGATTTATACATCGTTTGTGTTCCCAGTGCCAAGCAGCAACTATATATATATATATTATATATA